CCCAGTGCTTTAAATATGTCATCCCACTATGTTCTGGCCTCTATGGTTTCTGTTAATATTACTGCACATCATTTGTTAATGTGATGAGTCAACTCTCTCTTGCTGCTCTCAAGATTCTCTTTGTCTTTGGGTGTGCACAGTTTTATTATGATGTGTCAAGTTGTGGATCTCTGAGTTTATTATTTGGGAAGCTTTGGGCCATTATTTCTTTAAATATTCCTTCTGCCCCATTATCTCTCTTCTCTCTTTATGAGATTCCCATCATGGGTATGTTAATACTTTTGATGGTGTCCCACAGGTTTATGAGGTTTTGTTCATTCTATTTCATTCTTTTTTCTTTCTATTCTCAGACTTGATAATCTTAATTAACCAATTTTTAAGTTGGCTGATTATTTCTTCTGACTGCTCAAATCTGAGGTTGAGTTCTAGTGAATCAGCTAAAGTATATACCACAAGTCCAAACTCATGTAGTACTCTCATTGCCAATTCCTGTGTGTTTTCACTAAGCACTTGCTTTCCTTCCCTCACACAATTCTAACAAGCTTGGTTACCTGTTTCCAGTGCACAGAATATCAGAAAAGAGGCTGGTAGAGGCTGTTTCCCCAATAAAAAGAGAAATGACAGGAAAACTATGAGAAACAAACATCTCCTAAACTAAAAGCACGGAGATCAGACCACTTCACTTAAAGAAAAACTGTGCTTCATGTACAAATGGCTCCTATGAGGTTTTCTGTAGTAAAGTATTATGCTGTAGTTGATGTTCATAATAAAGATCTCAAGCCAATGAACAAAGATTACATGTTTGTTCAGTAGCAGAAGAATCTGCTTAGGAGAGGGGGCAGAATATAACTTTTTAAAATACAGAAAGTTTTAACCCTCAAGGAGGTTTAACTTATATGAAACCTCAAACTCAGGTGTCTCAAAAAGTAGTGAAAGATAAGGTATTCTTCTGGTTTAAAAATGTAGAGCCTGGCCGGGCATGGCTCAGTGGTTGAGCATCGACCTAGGATCCAGGCGATCGGGGTTCGATTCCCGGTCAGGGCACATGCCCGGGTTTTGCAGGCTCAATCAATGACTCTTTCATCATTGATGTTTCTGTCTCTCTCTCTCTCTCCCTCTCCTTTCCTCTCTCTGAAATCAATAAAGATATATTTTAAAAAATAATAATAAAATAAAAATGTAGATATACAACTACAAATTCACATGTATATTTTAACTAAATTAGCAGATTTTGTCAAATGAACTGATAAATAAGCAAATGAAATCTTGTGGGAGGAATTGGGCCTCTTTTGCTGGATTCTATGATGGAAAAAGGCTTAAGTTGTCCCGTTCAACCTCTCTCTGACTGCAGGAATCTTTACAAAAATCAGTGTTGAGTGATCATTACAGCCTATGCTTGAACACTTTCAGGAATTGGGGTGGAGATGACAACTGACTTTTCCAGATGAACCTTTCCATTACTGGATAGCTAGTCAGAAAGATTTTCCTACACTTACCTGACATTCCTTGTTCAACTTCTAGTTCTAGGGTCAATATAAAGCAATGTTACTTCCATCTCCTCAGCCTCTTTCAGATGATGACCCTTTAAACATAACTATCACTGCTTCCTTGGTCTCTTCTCTAAGCTAAACATGCCATTTCTCTTAACTATTTTTCATACAATATATTTCCAGAAGCCTCAGCATCTTATTTATCTCCTTCTGAATAGTCTCAAATTTATTATGTTTCTTTTTTTTTCCCAATTACAGTTTACATTCAATATTATTATTAGTTTCAGGTGTACAGCATAGTGGTTAGACAATCACATACTTTGCAAGGTGGTCCTACCCCTCTGATATTTCAAATACTCATCTGGCACCATACACAGTTATTGCAATATTATTGACTATAGTCCTATGCTGTGTTTTATATCCCATGACTACTTTGTGATTACCAATTAGTACTTCTTAATCCCTTCACCTTTTTCACCCAGCCCCCCAACCCTAAGGTATAACATCCATATTAGACACATATACCTAATGTGTTCTGACTACAGTAGTGTATTAGTATTACTATCACCTTCCTGTAATTATACACTGTGCATATTGCACTAAAGTAACCTAAAATTTTTCAACAACCACATCACAATCTTAGCTCCCTTGTGGAAGATATCACTAAGCTGTCTTTTAAATTTGCTTTGAAATTCAGTATTCACGTGCTAAGTCACAAGGACATAAGAGAACAAGTTCCAAAAATTGCAAAAACCTATGAGGTTTTATTTGCGTATTTCCTTTTTTGTTTATTTAAGCAGTTTTATATTTTATTTATTTATTTATTTATTTATTTATTTATTTATTTATTTATTTATTTATTTATTTCTGCTTATGCATTTTTCCTTTTAATTGGCCAACAATGGTTAAGTTTAATGTGAATTTTAGCTTCACCATATTTGAGTCAGATGTAAAGATGTAATTATTGATGAAGATCTTCTGATTACCTGCGATTGCTGAAAATATTTGATTTTCTACCCTGGTCCTTTGAAACACAAGTGGATTTTCAGTTTATGCACGTGCATACACTAAAATAAGAACAACAATATTGTGGCATTTAACCAAATTTGATTAGAATTTACGGAGGGTCTCAGGTACTCTACCTAGTTTTTAGAAGCACTTTCTTGTATCTGTTTGGCTGTGCCATCTTCTGGATCCTTTTGGAAGGTTTTCTTAACAGTACAGAAGAAGGGATATCCCAGATTACAGACCCTGTACCCCATCTGTAGTAATATTCAGCCCTGCAAGTTGTAGAGAGAAAAGAAGTGATTGAAACAAACATGAATCCAAACATTGATAACCCCAGGTCTAAGGAAGTGGTCATGACAGTTTATCCCTTTACTGCTGAGCTATTTTCTACATGGGAAGAAATTAGAAATGGTTACAGCCATCAAGTTTTTCAGCCACCTTCTAATACGCTATTCCAAAACAGACAATTTACCATAATAAATAAATTGCATCTTTTAAATAGACCAAAAATATACTGATAAAAAGAGAAAATTTGCCCAGGCAGGGCATGACTCAGCAGTTGAGCATCAGCCTAAGATTCAGGAGATCGCAGTTTGATTCCCAGTCAGGGCACATGCCCGGGTTGCGGGCTTGATCCCCAGTGGGGGGCGTGCAGGAGGCAGCCAATCAATGACTCTCTCATCACTGATGTTTCTGTCTCTCTCTCTCACTCTTCCTTCCTCTCTCTGAAATCAATAAAGATATATTTTAAAAAAAGAAAAGAAAATGTGCTGCTTTAAAACCAAGTTATTTCTTTAATATCTATATAGATAATTTAAATATTTTTACTACATTTTTAGTTAATAGAATGAATTACATTGATGTTTTTCTTTGTGAAAGAGAACTGTGAGTTTAGGAATAAATTCTCGATCATGGGATATAGATTATTTAATCATTATTGGGCTTTGTTAACTAAGACTTTATTTAGGATAAATAATAATATTATTCGTCACCAGTGCAAAAGGAAGTGATATTGGCTACTTTGGACTGGTGGTAACTCAGACTGCAGTCCCACTTCTGCTTCGATTATTTTCCAAAGGACCTTTGCTCCATTAACATATTCCTGGATGTGGATCTGCAGCCATCTTCCCAGGCTTGTCTGCTGGTTGCTAATGTAGGCCTGGGTGGTGTGTTAAGCGTGTATCTCCCTCCTTTGCTTGTGACCATCCAGCCTTGAGGCCTGTCCATATACCTCACATCTGCTTTCAGAGGGCCTGACTGAACTGACTCAGCCATCCCACCCCCACCCCCACCCCCAACACACACAGCCAAACTCAAACAGGCAGGGAGCCTCCTGCACTTACCTGGGATCAGCCTTTTCAGGAAATGGCAGTTGGGCTTGGGGATTGGAGATAGAGAAGGGCCGGGTGAGTTTGAACAATGGGGCACTTCAGAGAGGTCAGACCCAGGTAAGGAGTGTGGGAGGGAGGGAGGACGGGGTTATTAGGCAGCCAACGAGCAGCTCAAAAGCAAGGTGTGTCGCAGAGGAGGGCAAAGGGTAGGGGCCCAGGCATCAGAGAGAGATACAGAAAGGAAGGTGGGAGGTCGCCAGAGAAATAACTCAATTATTCAGCATTCTCTCAGGTGGGAGTAGCAAACACCGAATGCCATGAATACATGTACTGACCATAGCACTTACTCCTTATGCTACCAACACCTGGAGGTGCATGAGTGAGATGGAGAAAAGAATACATCTTATGCTGGTTATGAAAATTACACAAAAGATGTAGAAGTAATTTTATACATTACGAAGCACTGTTCAAATAAGATTTTATTATTAGCCAATTTGTATAGTGACTTTGAATTTCATGTGTGCACATCTTTTCTCCTTGTGGATATTGCACATTAATAGAATGTACTGCTGCTTTTTCTACACTCCACCCCCTACACCCATCCACACCCTAGCCTCTCAATTCCATCAAGGTGGCAGGCACTCTCAGTTCCACCTTAAGAAACCAGGGGGGGAAGCAAATGAAACCCAAAGTAATCAGAAGAAAGGAAATAATAAAGAACAGAGCAGAAATCAAAGAAACAGTTAACAGCAAAATAATAGAGTAAATCAGTGAAGCCAGCAATTGAACTTCTAGCCGGAATGATTAGCCAAAAAGAGAGAAGGCACAACTTCCAATATCAGGACTGAGAGGAGGAATCATCACTAGATATTGAACAGATATTAAAAGGAAAAGAAGAGAACATATGAACAACTTTATGCCAACAAATTTTAAAATTTAGATGAAATGGATAAATTCTTTGAAAGACGCACACTACCAATGCTCACAGAAAGAAATAACCTGAATGGCCCTTGTCGAGAGTTTAGTTAAGCTGCTCGTGGTGCTGCTTCCTTGACACCCATTCTGTCTGGCCAAGCAGCCCGTAGTAACAAACTGGCCCTAGGCCCTCACGCAAGCCTGTGCCCTAGACAGCAGCCCGGCAAGTCACAAAGTAGAAGCAAGTTCCTGATATGACTTTACCCAACGGCCCTTGGTCTGACAGTCTCCCCTGACTCCCAAGGCCTTGGTCCTTATGTTCCCCTTCAAGAAGGTTCCTGTGGACCTTACTAAAGTCCCACTCTTTTAGTTTGAATTGACCAATCTGGCTTTAGCCTGGAAATCCCAAAAAACTCTACCCATGGACCCTAATAAAAGCATGTGCCCCAGGTTTTGCCTCTCTGTCTAAACTCTGCCTCAACCCCCCTGTGTGACTCCTTGAGGCATGCCAGGCACTTCCTCTAGGACCTGTGAGTAATAAGCTTCTCTATTTCAATTTCCTTTATGACCTGGTATTGAACTGCAGTTCACCATCAGGCACCCTGTGCTCCACATAACAAGTGTTAACTTGACAAATTCATAACAGCCTTATATCTATTAAATAAATTGAATTTATAGTTTAAAACCTTCCCACCAAAAAACTCCAGGTCCAGATGACTTCATTGGTGGATTCCATCATATATTTAAAGAAGAAATAAATATCAATTCCATACATTTTACAATTCTATGATAACAGCATTGCCACAAATGAAGACATTATAAAAAACAAATACATTACAAGAAAACCACAGGCCAATATCCCTCATGAACACAGATGCAAAAATTCTAGTTTTATTAGAACACAGACATGCTCTGTTTACATGGCTTTCCCACTATAATGGCAGAGTCAGGTAGTTGTAACAGAAACTCTGGCCAACTTTATATCTTGCCCTACCAGAAAAAGTGCTGACTTTTGACAAAAGTTGTATATTGAAAAAGATATAGAAATGGCCACATCAATCATCCTAAAAACCAAACTTTAGACAAATAATAGTGTCTTCCCTTTTTTTCCTTTAATCTCCCTCATTGCCTACACCCATCCCTGCTCCCCAAAGTATTTCCTTGAAAAGCCAACCAGCAAAAAGCCTACTCACTTAACAAACGTGTGCTAAAACCAGATTGGCAATGGGCATCAAAAGCCTTAACAGTTTTACCTTCAGATGTCCTAATTAACTCATGGTAATCAAGCCCATAGGCGGTATACAAAATTCATAAAGTTTCACGCACAAATAAGTTTATCCACAACAGTGTTATATATGGTACATATTCTTGGGTAATGCTCTTACTTTATTAAAATATAGAAATCCTAATGAGTCAAAACATTATAAGATATAATACACATCTGCAATAGCTAAATATTAGATCTTGTTCTGGGAAAGTTTTACTGTAGCATCAGATTGGAAACATATAGAATGTCGAATCCTCAATAAATTTTGACTACAAGGCTACTTATGGCTTTTAGATAAAAGGGTTGGGTTCTGTGTTCATTGTCCTAGAGACTCCTGATAAAATAACTCAATAACATACAATACTAGCCTGTTAGGTACATATCTGGGGGAAACTTCCTTGGGCTGGGCAAGGCTATTGAGCCTCTTGGTCAGCAGAGCCTTCAAAGCACTAGGGCAAATGGGGCGGATAGGGTCTTGATTTCCCCAAAGCAGCTTTCTGTTAAAAAACAGGGAGAAAAATGAAAAAGCAGAAAAAATAAAATGGAAAGACATTCATTGTTAACAACATCTTAGACTGCTTCTCTACTAATTTTACTTCAGTTTAAGAACTGTCTCTATTGCAGGATTTCAGTCTCCAGTCATCGGAAGCAGATAAACTACTCATGTAGGTTGAAATAAAAATAAAATAAGACTTTTATCTAGCATCTTAAAATGTAGTGACCAAAATGAACCTATTAGTGGTAGATAGTTCTGTTTCTGTCATCACAGCATTAACACTGCAGTTAATAGTCAGATCAACAAAATGGTCATGCCACCTCCTTACACTGTGCTCTCCCTTTGGGTGATGGACTGTACCAGGTGGCCAGAAAATAAAGTAGTAACAGAGTAATATTAATAGTCGTCATTTGTGCAATACTTATTGTGGGCCAAGCACTGGGCTAAGTGTTTTATAGACATCAGATCATTTAGTCTCAACAGCCCTGTTAAACAGGTATGACTGCTGTGCAGGGGTGAACAGGAAAGGAGAAATCAGTCCAGGATTAACCTGGAAAGGCTTCATGGAAGTAAGTAGAAGGCACAGACTGGCAGAAATGAGGCATGTTCCATGTTGGGGTAACCAAGAGAAATGGAAATAACCAAGTATTGGACAAGGCATGTTTGAGCAGAAGCAGAAAGTCATGTTGGGAGTAATTAAGTAACTTTGTTGGAATGATGGGCATATTCTGCTGATTCCTTTTTCCTAAGTATGGCTCAAATCTGTTGACTTCTCACCATCCCCTTTGCTATGTCCCTTGTCCAGGTCCCATCATCCACACTCCTTTCTCCATGTCACTGCCAGAGTGATCTTTCTCAACTCCAATCTGCTCAAGTCATCCACTTGTTTAAGAAATAAGCCAGGTAGAAAATAACAAACATCTCATGATCTCACTTATTTGTGGAATCTAAAGAACATAATAAACTGATGAACAAAATAGATTCAGTGACATGGAAGCATGGATTAGACTGACAAATCTCATAGGGAAGGAAGGGGGTGGGTGGGGTGGGGAGAGATTAACCAAAGAATTTATATGCATATATACATAACGCATGGACACAGACAACCGCGGTGAAGGCCTAGGGTGCAGAGTGGGTGGGGGGTGGAAGGGGTTAATGAGGAAAAAAAGGGACATCTGGTAATATTTTTAACAATAAACATAAATTAAATGCACACACAAAAAAGACACTTGAGAATAAAGTCCCAACTCCTCACTGTGGCTTACAAGGCCCTCCACAATTTTGACAAGGAGCACCTTCCTCTCCACCCTATATATTTTTCCAGGAGAGAGATCAGGTCTTAATCTTTTGGAGATTTTCCCTTGCATAGTTTAGTGCTGTACACAATAGGTGCTCAATCGTGGCTTGATGAATGAACAAATGGTGAAAACTGGAAATTCACCTGATGGCAATGCGAAACAGATTAGAGAAGAGAGAATGACTTTGAGGAGATAAGAGGCTAAAGCAGAAGTTTGTGTGCTCACCTGGTGGAAGTGGTGAGGGAACTCTCTAGAACCTCTTTTATAAGGGCACTAATCCAGTCATGAGGGCTCCACCCTCATGATCTAATCACTTCCCAAAGACCCCACCTCCAAATACTATCACACTGGGGATTAGATTTCAAAATATAAATTTGAGGGGAAATAAACATTCAGTTGATAGCACCTGATAAAGAACTGGTATTCAAAAAATACAAAGAACTCTTAAAATTTAACAATAGAAAACAAACAACCCCATTAAAAAGTGGGCAAAAGATCTGAAAAGACACTTTACCAGAAAAGATATAAAGATGACAAATAAACATGAAATATGCTAACATCTCATTAGGGATTGCGAAGAAAAACAATGAGATATTAGAGTGGCTAAAATACAAGAGACTAACAGCAAGAGGCTGGTGAAGATATGGAGTGACAGGAACTCTCAGTAATGGCTGGTGGAAATGGCAAAGACACATTGAAAGAGAGTTTGGCAGTTTCTTACAAAGCTGAATATATTCTTACCATATGATCCAGTAATTGCACACCTAGGTACTTACCCAAATGAGTTGAAAACTTATATCTACACAAAAATCTGCACACAAAATGTTTACAGCAGCTTTATTCATAATTGCCAATAATTGGAAGCAACCAACGTGTCCTTCAATAGATGGATGGATAAATTGTGATATATCCAGAGAACAGAATATTATTCAGCACTAAAAAGAAATGGGCTACCAAGCCACGAAAAGACATGAAAGAACTTTAAATGCCTATTGCTAAGTGAAAGAAGCCAATCACAAAAGGTTACACATTGTTTGATTACAACTATATGACATTCTGGAAAAGGCAAAACTATACATACAGTAAACAAGATCAGTGTTTGCCAGGGGTTTGGAGAGGGTAGAGAGAAGGGAAAAATGAATAGATAGAGCACAGGTAACTCTTAGGGCAGTGAAACTGTTCTGTATAATACTGTAACGGTGGGTACATGATGACTTAAAAAGTGAGCCCTAATGTAAACTATATTCTTTAGTTAATAATAATGTGTCAGTATTTGTTCATCAACTGTAACAAATGTACCACACTCATGCAAGATGTTAATAATAGTGGAAACTAGAGGAGTGGATGGTAATATAGAAACTCTCTCTGTACTTTCACTTAATTTTCCTGTAAACCTAAAACTATCTTAAAAATAAAGTCTATTAAATTTTTTAAAAAAGCAATAGGAGATCAGAAAAAAGGGGGGGAGGAAATTCAGGCTTCACTCAAGAGCCCAAGAAGAAAAGGGGGAGTCATGTGGCCAAGGGTGGATGGACAGTGAGTCCAGCCTGCTGGAGGGGGACCCAGAGAACAGGTGTGCTCCAGACAGACTTAGAGGCACCCGGAGGCCGGACACGAGCTTCACGGGAGTGTGGAGTAACACCCTGGAGGCGGCTCGCAAACCTGTCTGCCTACTAGAATTACCTGGGGGGCTTTTAACAGTCCCAAAGCCTCAGCTGCACCCCCAGACCAAGCAAGTCAGGATTTCTGAGGATGGGACCCAAACATCAATTCATTTTAAAGGTCTCCAGCTGATTCTAATGTGCAGACAAATTTGAAAAACACTGACCCAGGGGTTTGCCTTCCATGTGTTGACTCAAATGAGGTGACAATATGGGTTCAGGGGATCCAGTAGAGCAGGGAGCTGGATACACCGAGGATGCAGGGTTAGTGGGCAGGTAAGAATAATGCTTACTTACCTATTTAATGTAAGAAATATATCATCACAAAGAAAACGATATAATATTTCCTTACCTGTCTGGGGTTCCCCATTGTTTTTTAGGCTTAGAAAGATCTTGGATTCTTTTCCTGGAAAAAGTACTAACAAACACCAGCTGATTAATTCAAGAGAATACTTAATAAATACGGTTACATTACATGACTTTTACTCAAACAAATCCCATCTTAGGGGGAAAAACACCACAATATCCTATTTGATGTAATTTGAAGAATGCTAAAGAGCTCAAACTGTTCAAAAATATTGCAGACCCCAAATTCTCACTTCCAGAATCATTAATAATATAGTACATAATGAAACAATGAAGCATATTGTCTCCAAAAGACCCCAGGTAAAATAAATGCACACTTGTTAATGGGAAAAACCTTCAATTCACATGTTAAGGTAATATGTAAATGCTTGATGGCATTGGATTCTGAAGAGGTTGTACAGATAAATTTCAGACGGAACGTCTGATTTTGGAAAAACGATGAAATAGGCAAAATATACTTTTGGCACCACTCACCCCCGTTTCCCCCTACTCAGCTCCCTGGGAACTTCCCTGATTGTTCTGAATCCACCTATAGAAGAGACAGCTTATGTACCCCAAGCATCCACGTGTTCCCGCACATTTCCCAGCCTCCCCTGCAGCTGCTTGGAGCCACGTGCCTGGTTATGTCTAACTTCAGCAGAAGTGCTGGGTATCACTTCCAGGGCAATGCCCTTAAGAATTAGTGTGCCTCCCCCATTTGTCTCTTTCCCTGTTGCAATGATCCTGGAAGCCACATATTCTAGATGGCATAGCTGCAGCATCGAGGAAGCCAGACAACTCACACTAGACTGTGACATGGGGGAGAGATAAACTCTTATTGCGTCAGGCCTTTGAGAGTTTTGTAGCTTGTTTGCTACTGCAGCATCGCCTGTCCCATGCAAACTAATATACCACCTATGTCACCGCAGTTCATATTATAATTATTTATGTACTTGCTTGTAATTTAAATGGCCCAATATATAACAACACTTTTTTGCCCACCACAATTACGAACTAACTGAAAAACAGGCACAAGAGTCAGACAAATAGGGTAAAAATGCTTTCTCTAATATTGATAAAACTCTATTGAAGAGCGTAGTGTAGATTCCTGACATCCCCAAATTGGACTTGTACCCCAGAGCTGCAAAGTCTCCCCTTGTAGGGGCTAAGTTTGCTACGTGACAGAGAACAGATTGCAAAGGTCATTCACAGTAGATAGGCAGGTCCCAAAGACAGAGGACCCAGTTCTCTTTCCCAGCTCCATCAAACAGATGTCACTCCCACCCCCTGGGGAGTCTAATTAAGGGATAAGGCAAGAAGCCAGGAAAATTGCTCAAGGGAAATGCTTCTATATACAAAAAAGGGGGTGACCAGGAGAAGTGTTCTCCCTAACATTTGCCTGAGCTCTTTCAGAGGGTCTAAACTCGATGTTAGGATAAGCCCTGGTCCTGGTGTCAGGTCGGATTCAGGCCTGACAGCACGTGCACACTCTTATGCGAAGGCATGGCCTTCTTCATTAAATGGCTGCTGGTGCATCGTGAAGCTCCTTTCAGAAAGTGGGAGGATGCAAAGAGGGATTAATAGGAGGCCCCATGATTGCATATCACAAAACTGGGCCATCCACCCTGAAGATCAAGCTAAAATCCTTCAATCACATTATCTATTTCCATGTTACTCTGTTTAGTTCACTTGCATTGTCCCTCGGCCTTTAGTAATGACTTATTTGCCCCTTAACACCTTGCCTTAGCTGTGCTCAGAGAGGAATGCAAGTGGGAATTCTATGCACACAACCAGGCCACAGTATTAACAGCGGAACGTTTCCCCTGAGGCCATGTGGTAGTAGCACCAATCAACCTTGGGGACAAGGAACACTTGGTCCAAGAATTATTTTCACCTAAGAGATTATTATTCCAGTCCTAACGCTGGGATTCATAACAATCAGGCACAGCGCACTTCTTAAAAAAAAAAATCTTTATTGATTTCAGAGAGAGGAAGGGAGAGGGAGAGAGAGAGAAGCATCTATGATGAGAGAGCCATTGATCGGCTGCCTCGTGCACGCCCTGTACTGGAGATCGAGCCTGGCATGTGCCCTGACCGGGAATCGAACCCCGATCTCCTGGATCATAAGTCGATGCTCAACCCCTGAGCTACACTGGCCGGGCCGCGGCACACTTCTTTAAATAAAATGTTTTAGAGAATGGGAACAGGGACAGGTAATGGAGATAGCACCATTTCCTCATTGAGTCAAACCAAGTTAGCCAACGAAGCAAAAGCAAGAAGCAGTAAAATAATCACAATCAAAATAATAACACCAACAAAAACGTGTAAAAAACACTCTCTAAATAGTCTCTCTCTTTTTTTTTTAAAGTATAAACACTTACTAGGTAAATTATTTCGCTGACCGTGTAGCCATAGGAGTTTGCTCACTCAGCAAACATTATTTGAGTAATGTGGTATTTTAAGTGGACACTCGGTAGGTGACACTCGGTAATATTAGTTCTACCAGCTCTTCTACTCAGCCACCATGCAACCTTGGGAAAGTGACACGATTTCTCTCAATTTCATTTTCTCTCAGTAAAACCTAGTTGATTATATCTGCTTAATTGACTTCTCAAGATTCTTGTGAGAAAAACAATTTTTTTTTTAACTGCAAAGCATTTCACAAAAATAAAGTAGTATTTACTGCCTAGAAGAGGTGAGAAAAAACAACTAGAAAGCGTAATACATAGAAAATACAAAATAAGTCTAAATAATAACAATAAATACGAATGGTTTAACCCTCTTATTAAAAGATAAAAAATAAAATCTGGCCCAGCCGGTCCTGGCTCAGTGGTTGAGTGTAGACCTAGGATCCAGGAGATCTGGGTTTGATTCCCGGTCAGGGCACATGCCTGGGTTGTGGGCTCGATCCCCAGTCGGGGGCATGCAGGAGGCAGCCGATCACTGACTCTCTCATCATTGATGTTTTTTTCTCTCTCTCCCTCTCCTTTCCTCTCTCTGAAATCAATAAAGATATATTTTAAAAATAAATAAATAAAATCTGGTATTATTTCTCATCTATATGAACCATTGGTACGAACCCTTGGTATTTCTCTTTAATGATTCCATTCTGACACCTTTTACAACTACATCTTAGCCAAACCAGGAGCACACATCTGTTTTCAAAAGGCATCTATTTTGTATGTTGCCTGCAAACACACACACACACACACACACACACACACACACACACACGCACACATTTTTTAAATAGAGGACGTTTTCTTGAAATTTCATTATTGTACTTGAATTAGAGGTTAGGCAGAGTGGCATACATTGACCTGCATCTTCACAAAATCTATGACAGGAAATTGCCAATGCAGAATCCCAAGTCCCTCAAAGGTTCAGACCTAGTGTGTAACACCTAGTATTTAGCAAACAAGTGAAACACTGAATAGAAGGAGAGTTCCCCTATATCTCAATATTCTTCCCCGTTCTCACTGCTCAATCACTTTCTTCTTCTACTTTCCATTTCGCACAGGACTTGTCATTAGAAAAGGCCTTTATGACAAAGGGAAAGCACAGGAATCCTCTCAAAACCCCCAAGTTAGGCTTTGACTTCGAATACCCCTGAGTTTGCCCCATCCAGCCAGGCTGGCCCACTAACTGAAGTCTGGAAGAATAGTACTGTAACTATAGTCTTACCATTTCCTTACAAACTCATCGGGAATAGGTTCTGCAAAAAAGAAAAGTAAAAGCAAAAATTAGATTCAGTAAGAATCAAAGATATAAAGATAGTATCACAAATCAATAGAGAAAGGAGCTAGGAAAAAAATAACTATTTAGGGAAATGGCCAAATTAAATATGACACACCATATAAACCACAAAATAAACCACAACTTCTAATAAACTACAATTGAGGAGTTAAATATTTTTGTAAAAGTTGAATTAGAGCAAAAATAAGAGAATACCTGCTTAATCACTGGATTTTAATCTGAGTTAAAGGTGACAAAAGACATAGAGGAAAAATATGAATAGACTAAAATATTTAAAACTTAAAACTTCTGTATGTCAAAAATTAAGACTTGAAAAGGAAATAAAAATTTAGAGAAATATTAGGCAACAAATATGATAAAGGCTTACCAGTCTTAATATTTGAAGAGCATTAAAGTATAGATAAATAAGAAAAACACTAAGATAAATGTTAAAAGTTGGTGGACAAAGGACAAAATTAAATTCATATATAAAGACATGTAAAGGGCTAATAAACATAAGAAAGTTCAAACTTGCTTGTAATCAAAACAATGCAAATAAAAAATGAGGTATTTTTTTAAACTATCAAATTAGCACATTTTTTTGCAAAGGATAATGATGCTGTAAGGATAAGACAAGGTGAGTATTCTTGTGTAGAGCAGATGGAAATTTAAATTAGTACACTTCATAAAAAATAATTTGGCAGAATGAGTTAGCTTATATTCCTTAATCCAATTCTACTAAAAATGTGCCCTAAAGAAATAATGTCAAGTGTGGACAAAGATTTATGCACAAAAATGTTCATTGCAGTATCTTTAGCAACAGAAAACTGGATACACCTGAAACATCCCAAACAGAATATATGTTCAAGCAAACTAAAAACCATGTCTAGAAGGTGGCTTGGGTGTGTTTTTTTTTTAATGTAGGAAAATGTATGAAATCATACAGGCCAAGTTATGCAAATACTTATTCTAACAGGCCTCATAATGACAGACTGTTCTAGATGGTTTCCACCTGGGAGCTTTTAATTGCATCTGAGAGTTCTGAAATAACATTTTCTACAGTCTGGAGTGTTTTGGGTAAAAGAAAGTGGGTGCACTCCAGCATCAAACAGACATGGCTCAAACCCCAGTGTTGTTAAGTTACTCAGCCAGCTGTACAACCTTGGGCAAATTGCTTAACTTCTCTGAGCCTCTCTTCCCCTTCTCAGAGAGGAGGCTCATGGGTAGGCCTGTGTAAAGATCAGTGGCATCTATGTGGAGCACCTCCCATATAGTAGATGCAGAGAGTAGATGAATGGTAGTTAGAATTATTAGTTACAACTTCAGTGTATCAATGGCTTCAATAGAACACGTAGGAAACACAGCAGCCAAGTATTGTTTGGGCTTCTACTACGTGCAACGTGGTGTCAAGTGTTGAGGGAATAAAAATGAGTGACATGTGGTCTCTCCTCTCAAGGAGTTTACAGCCTAGAAGGCGATAGGCTATGAACTTTAAAAAGAAGTAAATGGATACAATTTTCCTCTTTTATGGCAGAGTAGTATTCTACTGTGTAAATGTACCACAACCTTTTTTTTTTTTTTTTTGGCAGCAGCAGCAGCATGGATGGACCTAGGGAGCAATATGCTAAGTGAAATAAGCCAGTCAGAGAAAGACAAGTACCATATGATTTCACTCATATGTGGAATCTAATGAACAAACTGAACTACAAAGCAAAATAGAGATAGACACACAGATAGGAAGCAGGTAGACAGCCGGGGTGAAGGGTGGGAAGTGGGAGATAGAATGAGCCAAAAAATAAAAGAGAGAGAGAGAGAGAGAGAGAGAGAGAACTCATAGACATGGATAACAGTGTGGTGATTGCGGTGGGAGTGAAGAGGGCATAGAGAGAATAAAGGGTGATGAAAAAATAAATAAATAAATAATACTCTTTAGACTCTATGCATTTCCACTATAAAGAGTGTGCTTTGTTCACTGATATTTCTAAAAATCACATGCAGTACTCTAACATTAAATCTTATAAGACAAGGTAGTTAAATAAATGAATCTCACCATTGCTGAGAACAGTCTTCAAGGCCAAACTGGAAGCTGTTGGAAAGGTGTTTAGGTAAAGCTGTCTGGACCATAAATGACCTGTAAATTATTTTAAAATTTTTTTAAGATATATTTTTACATGAAAAGGAATTTTAAAAACAGTAAAGCCCATATTAACATTAATATTAATATCTATAGAATAAAAGAACCAAGACAAGTAAATGAGTAATTTCTGGGCTCCATGACCACTNGGATAAATGGTGTTGGGGGCGGGGGGGAAGAAGTGGAATTTTTGAATTCGGATATTTTCTATTACTCCACTTTTTAAGTCTAAACAGACCCAGACCTAAGGAAAAGGGGAGTGTTGTCTACGAAAATGCCCAGTCTCGCTGTCATCCATGAAAGATGAAATTTTATTGTTAGTATATAGGAATGCAGTAGACATTTGTATACTGATTTTGTTTCCTACAACTTGACTGTATTTGCTTATTGTTTCTAATAGTTTTATTGGTGGAGTCTTTAGAGTTTTCTATATAAAGAATCATGTCACCTGCAAAAAGTGATACTTTTACTTCTTCATTGCCAATTTGGATGCCTTTTGTTTCTTTCTCTTGCCTGTTTGCTCTGGCGAGGACTTCCAGAACTATGTTGAATGAGAGCGGTGAGAGTGGGCATCCTTGTCTTGTTCCTAATCTCTGAGGAAAAGCTTTCAGATTTCACCACTGAGTATGACATTAGCCAAGGGTTTGTCATATGTGGCCTTTGTTATGTTGAGGTACTTTCCTTCTGTACTCATTTTATTGAGCGTTTTAATCATAAGTGGATGCTGTTTCTTATCAAATGCTTTTTCTGCATCTCTTAATAAGTCATATTATTTTTACCCTTTGTTTTGTTAATGTGGCGTATGACATTGATCGAGTTGCATATGTTGAACCGTCCTTGTGCCCTGGAATGAGCCCCACTTGATAGTGATGTGTTCTTTTTTAATGTGTTGTTTGTTCGTTACATTCGATCTGCTAGTAGTGTGTTGAGGGTGTTTGCGTCTGTACTCATCAGCGACATTGGTCTGTACTTGTGTGTGTCCCACCACGCCCTTTAAATGTTTGTACTTTATTCCATAGCTCATAAACCATGTCGCCTTCTTGAGCTAGCAAATGGGCTGATCAGGTCCGTGCTCCAAGCCATCTGATGGAGAAGGCTGCCATCTGCTGGGGGAACGCACGACTCAAAGGCCGCTGGTCCCCAGGCTCTCCTGCCCTGGAAGATCCATGGCACATAGAATAAAGCATTTGTAACATGATATGAATGAATAGCAGAGTACAGCTATTCTCCACCTTGCCCTCTACCCTGCCTCCTAAGGAGCCCACGTTTAGCCGCTCAGCCTCTAGTCCTTGGTTGTACCGAATGGGGTACCAGCGATATCCAAGGAGAAGGCAGGGAGCACCTCAGAACACATCCTAAGGGCGCAGGAGGAGTGGGGCCGGGACAGGCAGAGAAATGAAAAGGTCTCTGCGGGGAGTTGCTGTCACTGCCACAGGGACGTGGGAAGAACAATGTCTCAGGAACATTTTAGCAGGTTTTGTTCTACATTCATTCGGTGGATAATTTCTTTGAACATACTTCAAGACTTTCTGAAGTAGACTTCATGCTTGTTTTAGGTGTGCTATTGTGCTGCAGACCGGTCTTAAGGCAGTCCAGCTCTAAATTTGGTGTGACTGTGAAAACAAGCCTTGGGACGTTCTTTGATGTGACATATGAAGCTCTGACATATTAAGGTCTGACACTACCGTTCTTTCTCCCTCTCTCCTCTCCCAGCGAGGCGCAGCTCCTTCCATTTGACTAAACAACCACCAACGTACTTCCACGCAATCTAGAGCTCAAAACTATCACACACCCAAGCTAACTATTAAGGTCCTCTCACACCCCTAAGTCTGCACTTTTGTGACTTTTTCCCCTAGTTTCATATCTATTTTTCATGTTCATTCTCACCCGATCTCACCTGTGTCTCAGTAGCCACTAAGAACTGGGTTTATAACTCACACCACACCCAGGAGAAATTCCAAATGAATCAAAGATTTAAATGTTTAAGTAAGGCTATGAAAGAAAACACATCAGTGAGTTCCCTTGTAACCTAGAAGCAGAAAAAGGCCTTTCCGATGATGATTCGATACAGAAGCCATGAAAAAAAGGATTGATAATTTTTACTATAAAGTGTGTTTATTTCAGAAAAAAAAGATAAGCAAAGACAAAGAGACTGCCAACAAAGTAAAAAAAAAAGTAATACAGTCATACATATCCCAGACAAAGGGCCCACCTCCCTGTATACAAGAGGAGACACTAGCAAGGAAAATAGGCAAAAGGCATGAAAATATATATACCAAAAAAAATGATGCTTAATATCACTCATAAAATAAGATAAATACAAATTAAAACTTAATTAATGTGCTACTAGTTTTTCATCTCTGAGTTTCAAAAAGCCAGAAGTTGGAACACACGCCCCAACGGTGAGGCTGAGGAGACATAGAAACTTCCGTTGCCAGTAGGCATGCAAAGTGAATCAACTCCCAAAGAGGACAGTCTTGCTAAATTGAAGTTACACATGCCTGTACCCTCCAGTAATCCCACTTCTGGAAATTTACTCTACGGAGATACCAGCAGGTCCACTAAATGACATGATGTGCAGGTTTATCTACTGCAGCATTGCTTGTAACAGAGCACCGTGAAAGGAACTAAGAGGTGTTAAATTAGTAGTGGCACAGCTGTGTAATGGAACATGAGAGCAGCTGTGCTTCTTAAAAGGAGGAAACTGTATGTATCTGACATACTGTCAAGTGAATCTATATGTATAAGACATACTGTCAAGTGAAAAGAACAGTATAGCATATGCTACCCTTTGAGAGGGAACACACAGACAGGTTTGTACAGTATTTTCGTGTATTTATATAAAG